GGGGGCGATGGCCATGCCACAATCTCCTCTCCTCCACTCTCCTCTCAGGATCTTGGGCACGCACGCAAATGTGTCTGGTGTGAGTTTAAGCCACCGGGTCCAGGACTTGAACCGCGGTGGACTACATGGGAGTCCAACGACATAGCCATTACACTAACTGCTGGTGCCAGCAGCCCTTATCTTGAGCTATGATGTAAAGACCACCAATGCACCTAATGATGGATTTTATTTGTTTCTTAATTAGAATGAAAAAGCAGCAAGCTCTCTCTCTCTCTCCTCTCTCTCTGTATATATATATATATATATATATATCACATTGTTATCTTTGTAATTGCTTATATTTTATTTTTATTGCCAGAGCATATATGCACTGGCCAGACGAAGACAGAAAGAGCACTCCCACCAGAGCGTGTTCGTTCTGCAGCCCTTTCTCCTGGCGTCTCTGCATCCCAGTGGGATTTGGGGGACACATACACACATGCCCAGTTTTTCTCAAGTCACCAGGGTCAGGATGTGAACTGCAGTCGACCATGTGGGATCCAATTTCCTTAACCAGTTGGCTACAGAACTAGCCTGCTTACATTCTAGGCATATATACTGTTCTTACTGTCGTGATGAATAAAACATGACAATATAAAATCATATATACAAAATAGGGTATATATACTATGTCTTCCAATAATACATATAACACATTCTATGTTCCATCACTTACTATGATCTATTTACTAATACATAGTAACTTAACTAATACACAGTGAATAGATAATAGTAAGCCATAATGTATTATCTATATATACAGGTATAAATGGTAAGTGTGTATGTGTATCTTTTTTCCACTCTTCTTTTTGCCTAGGTCTTTGCTATAAGGTGTGTGCACTCATTGGAGAGAGACGGAGAGAGGGAAAGTGAGAAATTGCCCCCGGGGAATGGCCACACCACAATCCCTTCTCCTCTGCCTGTCAGGATTCTGAGCACACATACCCCTGGTGCGATTTTCTGGCTGCTGGGTCCGGGACTCTAACCGTGGTCGGCCACGTGGGAATTCAGTGCTTAACCACCACACCACCTGCTGGCCCTCTTTTTCTATTTTTGAGCCTGGAAAATAGTAGACGTATATAGAAATAAAAGTAAATCTTACATTTATTTTATTTAGAAGATGGTATTGACTTACAAGTCAACAACAGATCCTTTTCCTTTCCCTGATCTTATTATTCCCTCAATTTTTAACTTAAAAAGCCCATTTCCACCAGTATTTACATAACCAAGGAGACTAGCAACCAGGCTTGATAATCCAGCCGAATTCTTCATGGCGTTCCGACCTGGGGAGTGTCCCCACGCTGTGCGCGGAACTTCAGCTCCATTTGCAATGGCCCAGGGGAGAAAAAATCCGTATACGAAACAGAATATCGTGTGAATCACTCCAACTTTAAATATTTTAATTTACATACTTTCATGAATATAGGTCAATAAGAAATCTGCTTTTCCGATTTTATTTCTTTATAGAATATATTTGATAAGGATACATACAAACAGATCATCTTTAATACATGGTGTCCACCGGTGCCCCGCCCTGCCGCGGCAGGCGGGAGGTGTCACGGGGAACGTTTCCAAACGTGCTTAATCAGCCACTCGAAACAACCAGTGCCAGAGTTCAGACAATTCGACTCTTTTACTTGCCTGGAACGAGTAAAAATCTTAATATTTGTCTTTAAGTCTCTTTATGACTCCTCTATTTAAAAATCCGAGGTACATTCCCCAATGTAAACAATGAATTTCCACCTGCCACACAATCGATGTGGATAAGGCCTTCTTGACACTGCCTGCGGCGCCGCGGCCCTCGCTGGGCGCAGTCTCGCTTCCTATGTGATGAGCCGCACACCAAAGGCAGGAAGGAGCCCTCTGCACCTGGTGAGGCCTCGCGCCCTCTCCCCACCCGGGTTATGGTTCACTAACAGATGCCTTTTTGACTTGGTCTACTTGGTCGTCAAATACTAATGTACACTGCCCATCGCATAGAACAGTAGAGCCTAGCCTTACGCGTTTATTAAGAATCGCTAAAATCCTATACAAGTACAATACCGTATCATGCCAGTTAATATACAGAGGAAGGTGTCTACAGTCCCACCACGCATCGGGACAGGTGGACGGGGACGAGGTCGCAACGCACGGAGGTGTTCTGGTCAGGCGGGACAGCCCAGCGAACCCTGCGGAGACAGTGCAGCCGCTCCACCACCTCCCCCACGGTGTTCCTGGGAGCTCCGACGACAGAGCCCAGGGAAGCCTCCCCTCTCACTTCCTCACCCCGCTGTGCAGACCAGTTCCTGGCTCTCCTCTCCCCGAGTTAGCCTTCCAGGACCGACCCGTACCAGCGCTCCCGGGCTCGGTACCCCTCCTCACATACTGGCCGAGAAAGCTGGGCGGTGAGCTCGTGGGGACTATGTACAGTAGTGGAAAAGGCATTCTGTGACCGTGTTTCGAGTTCATAGAAAAGTTACTAAAGGTATCCCAGTTACTTGGGGTGCCGCCATGTGTAAACGTGGAGCCATTGCGCACGTGCCGTTTCAGAGTACAACAGCGAGCACGGGCCGCGCCCCCAGGGGGCGCTCGCTGATCGGCTAAGCTAAGGTGACCGGGCGCGGGCACAGTTTTCCTGAGGTTTGTAAGAAGTTTTTAAACAAAACAGAAATCACAGTGACCGAGAGCGATGCGAGTCAGCGTCCCCAGCACGCGTCTCTCCCACGTCCCGCGGGACTAGACTACCCGCCACTGCATGATACTCGTGTCCTTCCCGCCCGTGGAGATGAGGTGGCTGTCTTCACAGAGGAAGTCCACGTTGGTGACGTGGCTGCTGGGCCCGCCGGATAGGCTTGGAGCCTGGAAAAGAAGGCTGGTTGTGGAGGGCATCGGCACACACCGGCCTGCAGCGGGAGAGCACCCCCCGCCTTGCTCCTCGGCTCCCTTGCTCTGCCCTCGCCTGGTGGCTCTCACCTGCGCACCTGCTCCGCACCAGGACAAACCCGAGTCCCAGTGTTTTGGTGATGGGACAGACAGCAGCCAGTGACTGTCCTTGGCAGAGAAATGTGCAGTACCACAGGGCTGTGCCAGGCTCGGGCGGCCCAGAGGTGGGTCTAACTGCTGAGGGTGGGGACCTCCTCGGTGAACGAGGTCAGGTCTTGGGGGACAGGAGGGGTCCCAGGCATCGGGGCCAGCTCAGCTCAGCAGGGCCGGAGCAGAGAAAGCTGAGATGGGGCAGAGGAGAGAGGCCCAGAGGGCTAGAGGGACAAGAGACCCCAGGCTTTGCAGGTCCCCAGAGGCCCAGAGAGTGGGGTCCTGTCCACGTATGTGCCTGGGAGCATTCACCACTGCCCGTTTCTGCTGGGTTTCCACATGGGCCAGGCCAGAGTGCGGGCCCTGAAAGGGCAAGCCGCCCTTACCCTGAACTGTGAGCAGGGGTAGGAGAAGAGGTGCACTTTGCCGAAGTCGTCGCCAGTGGACAGGAGCTTTTTCTCGTGGGCCCGGCAGACAGCATTGATGTCGGTCCCATCGGAGCCCTCTGGCCACACTCCTGAAACAAAGACCCCAAAGAGGGACCAGCAGTTAGCGTAATGGCTATGTCGCTGGACTCCCACGTAGTTGACCGCAGTTCGCGTCCCGGACCTGGTGGCTTAACACTCACGCCAGGCGCATGTGCATGTGTGCCCAAGATCCCGAGAGGAGAATGGAGGAGAAGAGATTGTGGCGTGGCCATTCTCCCTGGGGGGTGATTTCTCGCTTTCTGTCTCTCTGTCTCTCTCTGTCTGTGTGGTGAGCACACACACGCTATAGCAAAAACCTCTCCAAAAAAAAAAAAGACCCCAAAGAGAGCTGGGCATACCGGAGACATAGGGCAGCTGCACCGGCTACTGCGCTGCGGCAGAGAGCACTGCCTGAGGTCTGGGTCTAGGAACCGGGGAGGCAGGACCTTTGCCTCGGCTCCTGGCCTCTCTCAGCTCCACCAGCCATGCTCAGGCAGCCTTTCAGCCACGGCGAGCCCCTCCCTGCACGGGAGGACAAAGACAGGCTTTCTGGGCCCACCTTGATGCTACAGCGGAGAGCGTCAGGAGCCCTGAGCCTGCATCCCCTCCTCTTCTGCCCAAAGGACCTGAGGGGAACCCGGCTGGGCCTCAGGCCTGCAGCACCACCACCTGTTTTTGGTAACTTTACATGTGAGAGAATCTCCTCCAATTATTTTTAGGTTTCTGCCATAGGGTGCGTGCACTCGCCAGAGAGACAGAGAGAGGGAAAGTGAGAAAGCAGTCCCTTGGGCGACGGGCATGCTGCAATCCCTTCTTCTTCAGTCCCCTCCTGGGACTCGGTGCACACACACCCAGTGTGCTTTTCAAGTCACCAGGTCTGGGACTAGAACTGTGGTTGGACATGACGGAGTCCAGTGCCCCGACCACCATGCCACCTTGGGCTCTTTAGCCCTGGGTCTGTGTGCTTCTTTGTGGTGTTCCCTGCCTGGGGCAGCCCGGCAGGTGCCCAGGCTGCCTCCATCGCTGCTGCCATCTGCTCGTGGGCTCCGCAGCCTGTGCCCGGGTGGCCTGGTCATGGTGGGCAGCGGGGAGGAGGGCCCTGCTCCTGGCTACTGCTTTGCAGAACCTCTCAGTCCCACAGGTGGGCTACGGGCTGGACGCACGTCAGTCCCTCATGTTCCCTGCCTGGGGCAGCCCGGCAGGTGCCCAGGCTGCCTCCATCGCTGCTGCCATCTGCTCGTGGGCTCCGCAGCCTGTGCCCGGGTGGCCTGGTCATGGTGGGCAGCGGGGAGGAGGGCCCTGCTCCTGGCTACTGCTTTGCAGAACCTCTCAGTCCCACAGGTGGGCTACGGGCTGGACGCACGTCAGTCCCTCAACTGCAGCCCTGCAGTCCGCCTGGGCCTTGCCTTTAGCCCCGAGTACAGCGCGATGCAACCCTGGGGAGGCGGCGTGTCCCCGCCAACTTCCTGCCTGCCGTCCTGCGAGAGACGGAACATGCTGGCCTTTCTTGTTTGACTAAACGGTGGCAGTTTATTTTAGGTTGTTTGTGAATATGCTCCTAAAATGAACTTAGAAGGAAGCGAAACGTTTAGTTTAAGAACCAAACCCTAACAGATGACAAACCCGTCAACTGAGTGCCATCTGGTTCATCCAGATCTGGCGTGACCTGGGATGATAAGACTCTGGAGGGTTACCTCAGGGCCGCTGGTTCCCAGCTGGCCATGCCGAGTATGCCCTGGCACCACCCCAGGCTGCCGCGGGGGGTGCGGCACAGGATTCTGAGCAGCAGAGTGGGTGCACGACCACAGACCTGAGGTTGTGCCACTACTGGGGAAATACTCTTTTTCTTCTTCTTAAAAAATTATAAGAAGAACTGATTATTTAATTTTATTATTATTGTTTTTTAAAATTTGACTGGGGTGTGGAGGGAGTGAGAAAGCGAGCCGCCAGGTCTGGGATTCAAACCACGGTTGACCATGTGTGCCTCAACTACCACGCCACCCTCTTTCTTGCTGCCCAGCCATCTTGGTGGCTGCTCTTGGTTGGGGCCATTCCACACCTAAGGCAGGGAGATGGTGGACACAAAGAGGATGAAAAAGTTGCTGGAGTCGATCAGCTCTCGACTCCAACATGTTATGAAAGTGGGAGTACATGCTGGGGTCCAAGTAGATCTTATTTATTTATGTATTTATTTATTTTGTGAGAGGTTTCTGCTATAGGGTGCATGCACTTGCCAGAAAGACAGAGAGACAGAGAGACAGAAAGAGAGAAATCATCCCCGGGGGGATGGCCACACCGCAATCCCTTCTCCTCCATTCTCCTCTTGGGATCTTGGGCATGCATGCACACACGCCCAGCCTGAGTTTAAGCCACTGGGTCCAGGACTCGAACCGTGGTTGACCACATGGGAGTCCAGCGACATAGCCATTATGCCAACTGCTGGTCCCCCAAGCAAACCTTAAAAGAACCAGACAAGGCAAAGCAAAGTTGGTCCCCCTTGCCAGCAACTGCCCAGCTTTGAGGGAATCCAAATGGAGCACACCATGTTGGTCAAAACTGGTGTCCATCACTAGAGTGGACAGTGTTAGGCTGGGCACAGCATGTGGGCACAGCCACGGAGTGTGCACGCCCGTCACTGATCCAGATCTGGATGTCATCAGAAGTATGCTGGAACAGACCCGTGAAAGTAAACCATGCAACGTTTTTCTTGAATAAAACTTACTAGAGCTTATTTAAAAGAAAAAAGGAAAAAACTACCACACCACCTATTGGCCCCTCTTTTATAATTTTAAAAAGTTTTTATTATTATTTTCATTGCCAGGGGGCACGTGAGCTTGCTGGAGAGGGAGAAAGGACTCCCAATAAGGTCATGCCACGATCCCCTCGATTCCATTTCTCCATCCAGTTGGGATTTGGGGCACACATGTGTGTCCAATATGTCTTTCAAGCCACTGGGGCTGGGCTCAGATGGCACGGTCAGCCACGTAGGATCTGTGTCCCTTAACTATTAGGCCATGGGGCCGGCCCTCTTTGTAAATTTTAAAAAATTGACAGAGTTTTGATTAACCTGAAAATTGTTACAATGTGCCTTCAGCACCCGAATACAAGGCCTAATAGCGAGATCATGGTGATTAGTACCCCATCATCTCAACCATTGCGACATTTTCTACAGGAAGCTAACCATTCTCCACACCCGCGTTTGGAAACGTGAGACACCGCTCCTGGCAGCTATCTGCAGTTTTGTTTCCGGTCATCGATATCCCTCTATCCCTCCATCCCATCATTTTTCTTTTCTTTTTTTTTTTTGGAGAGGTTTTTGCTATAGGGCGCGTGCGCTTGCCAGACAGACAGAGAGATAGAAAGCGAGATATCACCCCCCAGGGGGGATGGCCACGCCGCAATCCCTTCTCCTCCATTCTCCTCTTGGGATCTTGGGCATGCACGCACACACGCCCGGTGTGAGTTTAAGCCACCGGGTCCGGGACGTGAACCGTGGTCGATTATGTGGGAGTCCAGCGACATAGCCATTACACTAACTGCTGGTCCCCATCCCATCATTTTTCTGCAACAGTCATTCTACGTCTCTCTACTTCTGTGAGGTAATTTTTTCCGATTCCTATACGTGAGGGAGAGCACGTGGTGTCTGCTTAGAGAAATACTGTAAAAGTAGACCCCGCGTGTGATTGACCCTGACGAACTCTACAGAGAACTTACCGAACACATGGAAGCCCAGAGTGCAGGTGTACGTGGCCCACTCGATGTCCCTCGTGGCTTCCACACTTACGACTTGCTTGCAGGCAGAGGGGACCCCTGGGAAGGCAAACCGGATTTGGAGACATTTACACCAGGCCCCCACTCCTCCCCTGAGCAAGGCTGAGCCCCCGATCAGGCCCCGAAGGCTAACAGGTCTTCCAGTAAGGGACCTGTCCCACTTCCTGGCCCGGGCGACCTGAGCACAGCTGTCTGCCCTCCCAGCACGAGCCCCGGTGCCGCCACCTCTTCTTTGCTTCCTTCCCGTCTCCCTCTGACCGTTCCCCACGGTCTGGCCACTCTTGCCTTTGGCTATCCTGTGGTCTCCAGGCTCTGTATGCTCATTGTCCCCACTGGACGGGACTGCTGTCAGGCTCCCCGCCACAAGCTCAGTCCCCGCTCCCGTCCCTTCAGCTCTGAGTCTGAAACTGAAGCCTATGGCCACCTGTCACACCAAGTCCCTATAGGTGACCCGCTGGCTCCCCCAAAGATGCTCCCCAGTGGAGCACACACCTTGTTGAGAACACTCTAGACTCAGGGACTCTCCCTGAAAACACCACCCTGCTTCTGCCCCTGTGAGGCCCTGAGACCCGCTGGGGTGCTCGGCTCTGCTACACGTGCTCCCTGCTTCCTACCGCCAGCGGCCCACAGCCCCGGGCTCCTCGGCAGGAGGGCAACGTGCCCACCAAGAGTGACCTCCTCCCACCACCTGTTCCTGACACCTGAGGCCCGTGTCTGACCCCTGATTTCCTCATCTGTGAAGCAGGGACAAGACAGAGAGCCATGGGCCACGTGAGAAATGGGAACGCTGCACTCCGTAGCTTCTGTGGGCAGAGGCCAGGCCTTTCTCAGGCCCCGTGACCCCATGTGTGGGCCAGAGCTTGGTGTGTGGCAGGTGCCTGGGGACCGCCCCACTCCCAGGTCCTGCTGGGTGCAGAGATTGGTGGGGACCCGGGAGGGAAGGACAGCCATTCCTGGGGCTCCGTGCATTTCAGTGGTCTGTCTCTGCCTGCTGGGCGCAGCGGCTTCCTAGGGCCCTTGGCTGACGGCTACTGCAGCGGCTCCTGGGCCACCAGCCCGCCCTGCAGGGACTGCTCCCCCGGGGCAGGGTCAGCTTCCCCTTCACAGAACCGAGGTTCTCAGTGCTGGGAAGGACCCGAGAAGCCGGGCAGCCTGACTCCTCTACTTCCAGGGGAGGAAACCGAGGCCCGACATGACATCATGTGTCCCAGTCCTAAGGGAAGCGGCGTTTTCAGAGGCCCGTTTGGGCTGCAGAGTGGATGTGCCACGTGATTGCAACCCAGAGCCTGTGGGGTTGCACTCACAGTATAGGATTTCGTAGTCTCCGGAATTTGACACGAGGAACTGTGAGTTCACGGACCAGTCCAGGTGGGTGATGAAGCTGGAGTGACCCTGGGAGAGAGAACGGCTCGTGAGTCTCGGTGGCCTTGCGGGGGCTGACGGACGCTTTGCCGCCTGACGCCCGAGAAGCAGGGCACGGCTTACCGAGCACTTGCCCACGCGGGCGTACTTCCTCCCATTGTCGCTGACGCCGTAGATGTAGATGCAGTTGTCGTGAGAGCCTATGGCTAGGAAGTTCCCATCTACAAGAACGTGACAAATCACAGCTCAGTCAGAAATACACATCGTGTTCACGGCAAAGGGCCAACCTGGCTGTCGCTGCGGGTTTCAACGGGACGGCCTTAGGTAACTAACGAGTTATCTCAAAGAGAGGAGTTTGCTCTTGAACGAACCCTATACCACTTCCAATGGAGCTTTTGAGAAATACGCATCTGAGTGCGTTTTACAGTCTGGTAAAGAGTTACAGAGCCTTTCTGTTTTGCCATAGGGGGCATGCGCTCACCAGAGAGAGACAGAGACAGGGAGAGGGAAAGTGAGCAGTCACCCTCTAGAAGGGGCAGCCACACCACAGTCCCTCCCCTGTTCTCCTCCTGGGGTTTTGGGCATGCACACGCGCTCAGCGTGATTTTCAAGCTGCTAGTCCAGGACTCGAACCTTGGTCAGCCGTGTGGGAGTTCAGCGCCTTCACTACCATGCCACCTGTCAGCCTATTAAAGAATCTTTTTATAAACATTTGTAAAAACACCTTGTAAATCCCTTCTCTGGCCAAGCCTGTGCTCATCACTGAAGGACAGACTCAGTCCTCTAGTGGGGACCGCCAGGTCCCTGAAGGGGCTTTCCTGGCCGCTCTCTGAACACACAGGCCCTTGCCGGCCTCGTCCCCCTGCTCTGCCTGGGGGCCTTCTGACGGGCTGTCACCTAGTGTCACCTTCGCCTGGTTTCAGGGTCCCAGAGAGCTGCGATGCTCAAGTCAAGCATGAGGGACAGACTCCTGGTCACACACAGCAGAAAGGTCTGGTCCCTGGTGGATGTGCACGCCAGTGAGAAGCCAGATGGAGGAAGACAGTGGGAGGGGCAGCCAGGGAGGCCAGTATGGGAAGAGGTCAGGCGTTGCTGAGCCAGGACGCAGGAGGCGGGACGCAGGAACCAATGATGGGGCCCAGGGCAGGACATGGGCCATGGGGCTCTCTGCACAACCACATGTGCACTGGGCGGCGCCTTCCCCCAGCACTGGGGGTGTGCTCAATGGTGTCGCGAAGTCCCCCACAGCACGAGAACACAATGAGCTGCAGTGGGACCCCCTCACCAATTTTCCTTCTCCTCTGGTAGGAATCCCACTGGGAGTAGCCGGGCCTGGGCCAGCAGGAAATGGTGTTTTTGGAAGGCCCAGCCTAGGCCAGGTTGAAGTAGGAGCATTGGTAAGACCGAGGCAGCGGGCCCAAAGGGGCCAATGGGTGGTTTTACTGGGAACGAGAAAAGGGCTGCAGGCGCCGGGAGGCCTGCCGCTGTCTGCTGCTGGTTCTCGCGAAGCCAGGACTGCCCAGGAGCCAGGTGACCTGCACACAGCTGCCCAGCCGACCACGGCCTGACAGACTGACGACGACAGACACCAGGTGCCACTGGCGTGGTGGGACCGTGGGTGCACACCACCACGACCACTTTCCTTCAGACAGGGTCTCCCTATGGCAAGGCCAGCCTCAGGCTCGGGTCCTCCTGCCTCAGCCTGCCAGTCCTGGGGTTGCAGGTGCTGCCCGCACACCCAGCCCTCAGGCTAGACCAGGACTCACTCCGGCCTCCCGCGTGTCTCTGCTGTGGAGCGCAGGGTCCCAGCCGCGTGTGCCGTGCAGGGGCCCGGGGTCACCGTGAGTCCCACAGCAGGGACGAGTGCCTGCTAGGAGCCAGGTACCAGCCTAGCTCCCTGCGCTAACTGGCATGATCCTCGGCACAACTGTGTGAGGTAGTACTGTTGTCCCCATGCTTGGGAGCGGAAACTGAGGCATGGGTGGTAAAATAACAGGCCCAAGGTCACACAGATTTCCGGAAGCTGGCACTCAATCCCAGGCCAGACTCAGGGCCACAGCATGTCACCACCCCATGGACTCTGCAGAGGCGTCAAGGACAGGACGTGTCAGGTGGTGGGTGGCAAAACGGTCTGAGAGAGCGCCCTGGCCATCTGCTGCTGTAATGTGACAAGGCCTGTTTCACAGTGCAGGTATTTGCTGTTTAAGTTTCCGGGCAGGTGGCTACGTAAGGGCGAATCCAGAAAGAGCGTCACCCGCCCTTTGCCAAACTCCCCTTTGAGTAGTTAGCACGTGGTAGGATCCCCGCGTTCCAAATGTACGGTCCTGCCTGCGTGGCCCCCATCCTACCTGTTTCCCAGACAATCTCTGTGTCTAACGACCTTCCTCAGAGGTCATTCCTCTCTGGTTCCGGTCAAATCTCCGCACGGCCGGGCCAGTCTGCTGCTGCCTGGCAGAGGGAAACCGGCCCAGTGATGCCAGCCACAGCTCAGGTCTCTGCACTCCAAGACCCGCAGTCCCAGGAGACTCTGCCTTGCCTTCAAACAACTCTGACCACCCTCGCCCCAACCACAGTCTCCGATCCCTGGCACACGCACCCTCAGCGCCACCTCACTGCCTGTGGAAACGCGGACAGCGCTAGGAGACACACGCAGAAGCA